ATATGATTATTTATGCTAAATATAATTAAATTTTAATATTTATGTGTGCCATTTTTAAAGTTAAAATTGGTAGCTTATTAACTTAAAAACCATATAATCAAAATAAAATGCATGCTTAGAATAATTTTTTAATCAATTTGTATAATCTCCGAACCAATTTAAAACGGATTAAATGTTAAATTTAAATTTTATTTTCTTTTAATATATTTCAATAAATTTGACATGTTTCAAATTTAAAAAATAATTTTTTTATCAGCACATATAAATAACATCATTTAATTACATAATGTAAATAAATATCTTGAGACTAAATTCAAATTGTTATCAACTCAAATACAAATACTAATTTATTTTTATATTTCTAATTTATTTTATTAAATTAATCATACAAACTAAATAAAAATGTCATAATTATTCTACTTTCTAAATAACACCAGTTTTAATAATTAAAAAAATAATGTATTAGTTCAAATGATCACTCAAGTGTAAAACATTATTTAAAAAAGGTGTGAAATTACACAATTCTAATCTAATGCCATGCATCTAATATCTATGCAATATATAATTGTATACTATGTTATATGAAATTAAAAAGGCATATGAAATTTTTTCTATTTAATATATTATATATCAGTTTGGGTTTATACTTTATGCTTTTTATTTCACTTATTTAATTTTTTAATGATCTTCAATTTTTATTTTCTTTTATTCAAACAATCCTATTTGAATACTAATTCATTTTATATTGTCAAGTTATTTTATATAATTATGAAGTGTTGTAATTTGAATTTTAATTGTTTATATTGGATAGAGATCCATAATATCTAATATCTCATAACTAAATGGAAGGATATTGATTATTGTGAAAAGAGCAATGAAATATCTAAACTATGTAATTAATTAGTAGGTAGTAACTTTAAACTTTAAAAATCTAAACTATGCAATTAATCAGTTGGGGTGATTTTGACCTTTTATTCTAATGTCTAAGGAATAAATATGAAAAAAAATTATGTTATTATTTAGGAATGTGTTTTTAGGTTTAAATTTCAAGCATATCTAATAATTAAATTAAATTGACAATTTAAATTTAAAATTTCTTCAAACATAGATACTATGCCAATTATAAATTAATAAACATGAGTTTGGCTATGATTTCATTTCAGGATTCAAGCTTGAATTAATTCTATCATTCATGAGTTCATTGTGTAGATAAGTGTATCCTAAATTCCTAATTATCATTTAGTCCCATCGTGTATTTACGTTGCTAATGTTTATTTAGTCTTTCATTTGTTTATACCAAATATACCTCAACATTTTTTCTTCTATTGATTTTTATTTTGTAAAAAAAATGATAGATTCATTATTAAATAATCATGGTTGTGTTATATTCATTGTTTTTAAAATCGGACCGAACTGGCCAGTCTGACCAGTGAACCGATGATCCGACCATGTGTTCGATCTAGTTTTTCTTTTTATTATGGTTTAAGTTAACTCGGGTGACTTGGGATTAACCCGCCTAACCTCTCAGTTCAGGCAGATTGAGGGGGTTGAAATTAAAAAAAAACTTGAAACACAAGCGTAGCACAAAAATGCAGGGAGGTCTAAAGCCGTAAACTAAAACCCTTAGTTCTTAAATCTTCCTCTAGTGCTCGTGTTCTCTCCTCTGTCCTCTCAATCTCTTCTCAACTTTCACCCATCATCCGTGAGCATTGGCTCGTTTGTGATTGCAGTCGCTCATCTCTCACCATGTCTCTTTGTATTGCCTGTCTACTTGCCCAATAGAAAAAGATGGAAGAAGATGAAGAAAAAAGAGACTAAAAGGAAGAAAAGGACGAAGCAACAAGGAGAAAGAAGATGAACAAGAAGGAAAGGTTAAAAAGAAAAGCACCAGTGTATGGTCTGAAAAAAGAGGATAAAAAGGCTAAATAATTCGGTCATGCATAAAATCTATTAGATATTGGCTTATTTCTTGATTTAGTTAATTTGCTCACAAGATGTATATTCATTTTTGACATGATAATGATTAATGATAGGTCAATAGGAGTCATAGGGTAAAAAAAATCATACTCATGTCAAATGAAGGGACGGAAGAAGCAAAAAAAAAATCAAAAAGTATAAATATATATTATATTATATTACTTTTTAATTTGAATTATTTAATTAAATAATTTTTAAAATATATCACTTTTATTTATTATCTTTTCTTTTAAAATAAATTTTTATTTCTCTTATTTTAACTCATTGAAACTTTTTTTATCATTTAGTTAACCTTATTTTAAAAAAATATAGAAATGTTGTTATGTTTTTATTATTGTTAGAATTATTGTTATATGTTATATGAGATATTAAGACTTGGACATGTATGAATGTATTGAGAATTAATACATTTTTTATTTAAATTATATTATTTTATTATGACCGGTCTAACTCCGGTCTAACCCCTAGTTGAACCCATGACTCCTAACCCCTGAGTTTGGCCAGTTCAATGACCAGTCTGATTTTTAGTACCTTGGTTATATTTAAAATCTCAACTGGGAGAGATGTCCAATTTTATTGCCTAATCATGCAATGAATAAAATTTCCTTTAATAAAAAAATACTTGTAAGCAATTAAAAAATATTTAATAACATTTAATATCGTTATCATATCCATTATGTAGTGGTTTGTTTAAGACATTAATAATCAAATGAAGAAAAGTTGTTGGTGAGTGTTATTTAGAATTTTTATTAATTAGTTGAATTTATCAAATTATCTTTCTTCATGTGTCATACCCAATATAAATTACTTAGTTATTCTCATAAAAAATATTAAAAATCAATATATTATTTTAATTTAAAATTTTAATTTTTTTTCTAAATAGTATATAATCATTGAGTTTTTATAATTTAAAAATATTATTTTTCAAGGGAAAATAATTTTAGATGGAGATAGCATATAAAATTTATTTGTTATTTTAAATTTATTTGATAATGATCATGTTTTCAAAAGAAGACCAAACCTATATTTTATATTAAGTTGGCTGGTCCCAATTTTAGTGCATAAAGATCGAGAACTGAGTTGATAACTAATTCAATCTTGTCAGTGACAAAGCCAGAAAAGTTAGAATATAAGTACAACATGCATATACATATATATTTTTTGGAAAATAACAAATAAATTTCTTTAAAATAAGAAAATGACAAAATAGTATTGTAAAATGGAGTAATTTTGTTAGTAATTATGTTTCTAACCCTTTATAAAATAATAAACAGTGTAGTTATTAAAACCTAAACTAAAGTTGTTAATAACAAAAGTAAAATTGTTAATATGATAAATGTATTTATTATTGGACGACTATATTGAAGTTATGACTGTGTTATTAATAGTTAAACTAAAGTTATTAATTACTATACTAAAGTTGTTAATACAGGGAAGGCTCTAATGGCATGCAAGTTTTGTATCAAAGCTCTTAACATATACTTAAAGAATATTTTAAAGCTAAAAAAACTCATTAATTGATGATCTTTTCTTTTGAAGGAAAAGTTATTGCGTTTGGTTGAGATTTTAAGCAAATCTTTCATGTTATTCCAAGTAGGTCAAGTGATGATTTTTTTTCCTACCACCATTAACTCTTCGTACATTTGAGATAATTGTCAACTCCTTACACTGATAAGAAACACATGACTTCTAACAACAAATACTAGGGCATCTATTAGTGTTCCTCAGTATTTTGCTTGCTAGATTATCAACTGATGATTGGATTACTACTAAAATTAATGAAAGATCTATAAATATTAAGATCCCAACTGAAGTTGTTATTTGAAGGTTTGGATAACCCAATAAAATCCATTATTGGTTCAACTTTCTTGGATTATCCTTAATAATGTCTATAATTCTTTAAATTTTAGAGATATGGCTATATTAACTCCTATGTTGACTAAGAATAAAGAAGTAAATAGGTATATGTTGTCCTCACTTTTTGGTGAAAAAGTTGTGTACTTAAGCTTTGATTATGTTGTGAAAGGTGATGGGGACATATAATTACTTGATGATATGTACTCTATAGATTTTCTAAATTAAATTTTAATTCTAAGCCCTCTTGAATTATGAACTAAGGCTTAAAGTGGGTGCTTTAATTATTTTAATGTGAAACATTGATATATTTGTAGGGTTGTGCAATGGTACATGTTTCATGATTCCAAGAATTGAAAAATATGTTATTAAGGCCAAACAAAAGTCTATAGATCAAATACAAGGACAAAATTATATATTTTCCATGTTGATGTGTGTACGTCCATCTAATTTCATGTTGCTATTTATTATGATAAGGGGTTAGTTTCTCATTATGTTGGTTTTTGCTATGATCATTAATAAAAGTCAAGGCTAGAGCATGTATTATGTTGGTTTGTATTTGCCTCATCCTGCTTTCACCCCACAATCAATTATATGCTATTGTTTCTCATGTTTGAAGGGAGAATTAAGGGTTTAAAAAATATTAATTCTTGATGGGAATGGTCACTCCACAGATAGAACTTTCAATGTCACTTATAGGAAAATCTTTCACTATTTAATTTAAATAATTATGAATTTTTGTTAATTTGCTTCCTATTATATTCATTTACATAGTATGCATTTATTTTTTTTTATCATTTGCTTTACTCTAATATGCATATTTAATATTTATAACAATAATTATATAATCTCACTGCATATGAGATGATATGGAGATCAAGAGTGTTTGTTATAAGTTATTCTTTTAAAAAACTTCTTCCTATACAATTAATAATTATTCACAACAACTATAATATAAGACCTGTGCATCCTACGAGTAGTTTACTAGTTAAAATTAAAAGTTGAAGTACAGTAAACATGAGTTATTTTTTTTTCTCAAAAACTAATTTAGAAATTAAACTTTAAAATAATATTTAAAGAGTCTGGATGGCTACTATATGTGCCACATCACTAAGTTACTTCGTACTGTACATTTTTCGCACATAATATCGTTGAAGTTGATTGGGCCAAGCCCATTCTGACCCATCCTGAATCCTGCTTGGTTTTTCCTATGTCCAGGACATAAATCTTCTGCCACCGATTGCCGGCGAAGAATGGCGACGACGACGAAGGCCTCAGCGATCGGTGGGTCCTCCTCCATCTCAGCTTCAGAGGCCTTAATTGTACAACTGCTATGCGGGTTTGGCCTGGCTTTTGCACTTTGGGTGGCTGACAACGTCTACTCTATTCACCTTGTTACTGAGCCGTCCCGTACCTTATTTTTGATCTGGGTACCGTTTGATTCTCAGTTTCTCTTTTTATTGTATTTGAAAGTTTCTAATCGTTTCTGATTCTTTTGATCTTCATTATTTAGATTATAGAGCTGCCAATTGTGATACTCCTTTATAGTCGCTACCGACAGAATCGTAAATGTTGCACGGTAATTTGGCATCCATTTTCTTTCTAAAATTTTCCATTTCCGGACAGTGCAAATGAAGATAAAACTAAATCGATGGTTATGCCCTTTTATCTTTACCTATCTGGTTTCTTCTTTTGGTCGTTCCTCTACTATGTTTTATTATCGTGTGCTTTTCTGCAGTACCTGCGAGCTGTAGGACGAGGCTTGCTGGCACTGCCAGTAGGTTAGTTGAAACACTGGTCTTGTCTGCCTCTTCTGCTTGGATTTGGTTAATTTGCATATTATTCGTTTCTAATATTCTCTTGCCATTCTGTTTAGAGTTAAGAGAAAGTGTGTGTATGCTCTTAAGTTTTCCTAGATAATCACACCTACCCTCTTCATGTAGAATATTTTTAAACAAGAAATAAAAATGACTGTGCGGGGTTAAAACGTGTGCTGTATGTGATAAGATAGTAGTAAGAGTTAATTAACCTTTGAAACACATTTATATTTATAACATAAGTATTTCTTTTCTCAGCAGTATTACTTTTATGATAAGTATGTTGACAAAAAGTTGCATTTTACTGAACAGGGGCAGCAATAAATTTTGTAGGAGCTGTTGCTTTGGGGGCGCCTGTTACAACACAGTATGTGATATGAGTGGTATATAGTACATGTTTTATATCCACAACATGGGACAGGGATTTCTATTCTATTGAGGTCTTATGGGAATGAGTTTAGATTCTTATTTTCCTTCAAGTCTGGCTAGTAGCATTCCCTTTTGTTCTCTAGCCCGTTCTATGATGTGTCCAGTTTTTTAAAATGTATCATTATATATCTAGATGTAACTGAAGCATATTATGACTCTTGCATGTCTTCCTGGCACAGGTATATACCAAAGACAGTTAACTGGTCTCTTATGATGTCATTATTCACAGTGAGTGCCTGCTCATTGCATTTGCTAGTTTAGCAGCGCCTTGTAGAATATTATAGGAGTTTTTAACTCTATTTGGTCAATCTCACGTGCTTTCTGCATCTATTACACTCATGATACTTTACATTGTTTCATCTTTGCATTTCTTTACCTTTTCTAAGATAGATCAAAAGGAACTATGTTGCTTTAAAACTGAAATTGAGAATATAATTAGAACTTTCACCCTGCATTTGCCGTTTTGCCTTCTCACCACTTTAGCATGCTTCATAGCAGTATATGAGTTGCCACCAAGCTTGGCAGCAATTGCCAATTGGGAAGAATATGGAAGCTAAGGATGGGTGTGATGCTGAAGGTTGTGAGCTGGAAAAAATTAGTTCGATATTAATTTCTTGGCTAACAAATCAAAATAAAACAGATGAACAAGGATGAGGGGAGTAAGTGATCTGTACTGACTGTTTCAAATAGAAAGCATGAAGAATAGAGAAGTTTAAATGGAAACAAATGTAACAAACAATGGTATAATCTTTGTTGTTGGAGTCAAGGAAGTAACTCCTCAGGTTTTACTGCCAAATCATTGCCATCTGCATGCCTCTCTTAAAGCCACAACCCTTGAGGGACAGATTGCATGAATGGTGTTTCCCCTCGCTATTCTGACTAATTTGTTGCTGGTCACGTGATAACCTTCACCATATGTGTCATTGGTTTCTTTATTCTTCCCATCTTCTGCCATTGTCTGGTACTAACTTCATATACATTTTGTATCCCTGTCAGAATCTGTGTAATCACTACATAATGCATTAGGCATCGTGTCATGCTTTTTAAAGTAAAACAGTGCCATCCATTCTTCCATGTATGTTTTTTAATTATTTTCTTGCAACTTGCATAACATGAAAACATACATACTCTAGATTCTAGATTTCAGCCCCTTCTTCTTTGCTAACATACAAGCATTAAAACAATTTTCTCCGCTTTACTTGCAAACCCCAAGAGCATGGAAATTATTAAGGAAAAACCTCTCCCAATTGTAAAAGAAGTGGATAAATAAACTGTACTATAATCACTTCCACAAATACAGTGACTGCTTACATCTTACTTGAGAAGTTCTAGATCATTATGATTTTTTGCTGCCTGCTTGTGGACTCCCTATGATGTCTCTGAACAAAAGTCAGCTTTTGAAGGGATAGATCTGTTTTGCAAGTTTCAGACCCACAGTTTAGTATGTGGTAGATGTATTAACTTACATTTTGAACTATGGCAGACCGTTCCGGCTTCATGTGTTATTGGTTCATCATGGGCTGATTGGAGACGAATATTTGCACAGACAAAGTATGTTCCTCTTTGGTGATTAATTTTATCTTTCCAAGCAGTTATTGGTTCATGTTATGGCAGTGATGGTGTTATACGTTTAACTAGTTCCTGTAGTGGATTAGGCTTGTCATCTTTCTATTTAATCCTTCCATTTTATTAACATGAATTAAATCTTAATATTTTATTTACCTATTTTTACTCTCAGGCCTAAGGGATCAATTGAGTATTTAATTTGTCTACCAGCTCATGGAGCAGTGATTGGGGGCTGGTTTGGGGCTTGGCCAATGCCACTTGATTGGGAGAGGCCATGGCAGGTAGTCTTTTTATTTATTTATTTATTTATTTATTTTTTTGGGAAACCCCTGTCCTTGACACCATTACACAAACACATACAGAGGCCATCATTTGCTAAAGTCACGGTTTATGGAAGAAATTTTTTTTAAATGCTTCATAGGATTGATTTGGATTGGTGAAGAATGATTAACAGCAGGTACCGAACCTTCTGATAGTTTCACCTCCAATCCCATAAGTGGGTTTACTAAATACCAAAGATCGAAAATCCAAGAGATAAACCTTGTAATTGCAAACCTACAATGTTGGAGGTTTAGTGCTAAAATATCTCAAGTTTATGTTTGACCACCGTAATTTTCCTGAAGGGTCTGAGAATCCTTCCTCAGAGCTGCAAACTGGAATTCTGTTGGAATTATGCTGATATGAAATCATTGAATGGTTGTCTGATTTCATTGTCACTTCTCACTTGTTCATTAACATCTCAGAAATATTCCGCCATAGTTAGGGCAGTTAAACAACTCATATGAGCTCCGGGCAGTTCATTCATTTGACTATAGACTAGAGTCACTTTTTATTCTGCAATTTTTTGTTCATTAATTTTTCCTGAATCTTTCATTTCCATGTATAAAGATCATTTCCCTCACTCATTGCGATAAGTTCTTCAAATTTGGCAGTTGAAGGCTTGAAATATCACTTACTATTTTTGCAGGAATGGCCTATTTGTGTAAGCTATGGAGCGATAACTGGTTACCTGGTGGCAATGGTTGCGTCAATAGGCTTTGTAGTTGCTCATACCAGATCGTGTCTTCCCAAACGGGACTAAAATCCCATCCTCTGATCATTGTAAACTTACTCACGACTCATGTCCAAGTCTGACGGTTATATTAATTATTTGACACCTTACTTCATAGTTCATACTATAGATTCAAAAATTCATTGCCCCTCATGTTTTGTAGTTGAGGAGTTGGATAGGCCTGTTTTATTAATTATTTGTTATTGATATTATTTAGTTATAAGCTTATCCTTGCGAATGAAAAAGGGTACACATTATCATAGCAGAAAGACATTTTTTCCCCCCAATTATGCTAGTTAAACAGACATTTATAACGTCTGTATATGTAATTTACGATGAATTATTTGTATCATTTTGCATCATTCTCTGTATTAGGGACGTATAACATGTTACATATTCTTGGATGTTCAAATCATTATTCTATTTGTACAAGTGTCCTTTCTCAACATGTTCACGAGGAATGTAACGATAATATCAAGAATTAATGAAATGGGATTGAGGGGTAAAAATATTTAAATTTTTTTTTCTATGAGCTTATAATATCTTTTAAGTCAACAATAGTGTAGATGTAGCTATTAACTTTATAAAAACAACTTATTCTCTTCAATTTGTTAAAATAGCACGACGTTGATTATTAAGTTTTAAGAATAGAATTTAAAGCATTAGGAAATATTGGCTTTTCTTATAAAGTTAATAGGTATTGATGTGTCATTGTTGGTTTAAGAACATAGAGAGTTCTTAGAAAACAATTTTTTAAATATTTTCGCATCTTGATTCAATAAAATATATTGGAAGTTGGAAGAGTGAATAAATGGTAAGGACAAGCGTGCCAATTGTGTTATGAAGATCTAATAATTAACAAAAGGCTCACTGTGTTTCTACAAGTTTGCTAGTGATTTATTATTAAAATTTTTTGAAGGCTCTTACTATTTCAAAGCCTAAAATCTTAGGCTTCATGTTCTAGTCTAATAAAATATTAAGAAAATTAATTATTTGGTTTTCATAATTTTAACTTAATTGTGACTTAATCCTTACAATTTTGACTTGATTGTAATTTAATTTTTAAATTTTAAGTTTTGCAATTCAGTTCTTATATTTTTAATCATCTAAAATATTAGTTCTTATTTTTTTTAAAAATAAAATAATAATATTAAAATTCATGATTAATATTTTAATTACTAAACCCTTTTAATCTTTATAGGGAATATAAATATTAAAATTTTAAAATATTTTTAATCTTTATAATTTTATTTTTTAAAATATAGGGACTAATACTTAAATGATTGAAATTATATCGATTAAATTACAAGAGGTAAAGTTCAAAGATTGAGTTATAATTGGGTCAAAATTATAAGGATCAAATGATTAATTTTTCCTAAAATATTTCTCTATGAATCACTATCAACTTAAAATCATCTTAAAAATAAATAAGTCTTTAGATAAGGAAGAATGATAATAAAATTTTAAAATAATGAATTTATGATAGTTAAATCACTAACAAAATTTTTTAAAAAATAAGTTACAAATATTGATTTAAACAATTGCAAACAAGAATCCTAATTGAGTTATGTTTGAAATTTAAATGTTTTATTTATCGTTAAAACTCTTAAATTTATGATTATCCAAATAAATATTTACAAGTGATTTTTAAAATTTTGTATTAGGGATCTAACTGTCATAAATTCATTATTTGGAGACTTTGATGTCATTTTTCCTTTGAATAACTCTTCAGTGAGACACACACTTTAACTCAAATCTAATATTGTTGCTCCCTGTGGTCTGTCAAAATCAGTCCACAAAATTTAGCTATTCCATGAACTTTCAACAATTAAACCCAATTTTTACACATGTCAAAGATGTATTTAGATCCAATCGTTTGGTTATCATTAAAGAGAATAGCAACTTGAAGTTTGCTTGGTAAAGATAATTAAGGTTATGTTGGGATTAATTTCAAACTGAGGTTGGGATGGCCTAAATTGAAATTAGGAGTAGTAAAAGCTTATTACAAAATAAAAATTATGTTTGAATTGAGAAAAAATTCCAACTGAAGTTAGAGTCTAAATGAGCTTTTTTGTTTTTCCAAAACTCATTTTCATGGCTTCTACATTAGTGTTGAGCACTGGAAGCATTTAATCCATTTAAAATTTTTATTATTATTTATTTCTACATCAGCGTTGAACATGAGAGGGAGAGGTTTTTTTTTTTTTTTTTTTTTTTACTAACAAAAGTAGGAGAGAGGTTAAAGAATAATCTCTAATTAATTAACCTGTTTAATATATATTAATTTATTTTAAATTTCTTACCTCTATTTTTTAAATAAAATTATAATTTAAAGTTTAATTTTTTAAAACAGAATATTGGTTAATCACAAAGTTTGATATTTTTTTAAAAAATAAATTAATCACAAAAATATATAATGAAATTTATATCCTTGTCTATCATTATACTTCTAAACTGACTTTTAAATCAAATTATTTAAATAAATTTTAGTTTATCTAACAGACTTTAAAAAAAAAATCCAAACAAAAATCAGTTAAAGTCACAAATATTTTTTTTAATTTCAATTTGCTAACTTCAATTGAGTCCTAACTTTAGTTGTAGATTTTTTAATCCAAATGCATACTAAGTAATTTCCTCAATCTTTTAGTTTAGGTTTAATCTTTTTGTTGTATTCCTAAAAAGAGCTGATAATTTTAAGGAAAATAACAATAATAATGAAGAAGTAAATTTTAAAATAATGAAATATTGAGTATCAATGGGAACTAATTACGCAAAATGCAATACAAAAGAGAGCTAAATATAAGGGCATTGTAACATGTTTTGCATGTTCCCTCCGTTTAAAATGTAAGGTATTTTTTAAGAGGTTAGATGTTAAAAAATATAAGATATTTTTAATATTTTAAGATGTAATCATCATCTTTTTTTTTTTTCCAAAAGTGCCATGAATAAATAAATTACTTTATATTTATTTTAGAGTGAAAACACATTATTAAATAAAAGTAAATATCAAAAGATGGTTTTAGTTTAGAGATAAATAATTATTTTATTAAAAGATGATATTTGAGTAAAAATGTCTTATATTTTTAAATGGACGGAATATCATACATCAAAGGGAAAGGCTACAATTCGAAATTTTAAAATTGATGTCTCTCTCATGAACTTATGAACTAACAAGTTAACACTGTTTTCTTTTAAACTTTTTAACTGCTGATTTAAGACAGCTAGTGTAAGCGTGTTTAATTTTTCTTATTTCGAAATAAAAGATAATTATATAATTAACCTTATATATTTAATATATTTCTGTTTAATTAAATTAGAATAAGATGATTTTATAGTGTTAAAAATATTAATAATAAGAGTTTGTTATATGATAAATAATTATATAAAAATTCACGTATATTAATTTAATTAGATATAAGTAACTTAAACATATAATTACACAGTTAAGTATATAAATATTCCTTTTAAACGGGTTTGAATCCAGCTGTGGCCTAGGAAAGGGAATTCCTTTTATTTCTTTTAATTTCTTTCAACATACCATCTGAAATTATAAGAAGAATGATATTAAAGTCCCAAATTAATAAATTTATAAGAATTAAGTGACAAAATTTTTTAAAAATTTAATTATGAATATAATTCTGAAAGTGATAAATTTAGAAGTTTTAATAACCAATGAGATATATAAATTTTAAATATAATTTTTAATTTGCAGTCCGTGGCTTGTGGGATTGGGTTGAGGGCCAGATTCATTAAACGAAGAACTCCAAGTTAACACCGCTGATCGGAGAACTGAAACGATGATCGGAGCAAGAACTGATAGGAGTTCACGAAATGGGGAAAACAGCCAACGCAGAGCCATGATCACTGTGGTAGAAGGGAATAAGGAGAATTAACGAGGAGATAAATATAAACAATAATAGGCGAGATTCTGATGCTGCGAATGGAATAAGGGGGGGATAATGAAGGTAATCTTGCCACGAAAGACTTCATGATAATGCTCAATGTGAAGGTAAGGTATCAGCACAAGTTTGTAATGCTTAAAAGCCCACTAGTTTAGGAGCCACGTTAGTGACATGAGAATATAGTGGGCTTGGTGAAACAAACACCTTATGGGTTGATTTTTCTTTGGAAGAAGAGGACGTTTCGAAAGCTATTAGTTCCATTCAGTGGGCTCTCGCCCATTTCATCTGTTACACTTGGTTTAAGGAAAATAGCCGCAAGCGTTCTGCAGAAGACACGTCTAGCATCTTAGATCCGAGAAGAAGGAAAAAGCTGTCTGCTGTCCTTCAAAGAGGGGTTCTCTTCATCGTGTCAAGATAATTAGAGACACGAAACACCAATGCTACAGAGCCTTGAAGCAAAGAATTCCAAGCAGGTGTGGTAACAATTTGGCCAACATGTCGATCTCCATCTTAAGTCAGACTGAAAATGATTTATCTAAGAGTTGGTTCTCTGCTAGTGGTCAAGGTAGTGATGTTGGTTCTCATTCTTCTTCTCAAAACGCCGGTGGTTGGATGGGACCAACTACCAGTTCGCAATGAATCTCCTATCTTGGAACTATTAGCTCTTGGTGTTCCCCCGACAATAAAAAAAATAAAATAAAATAAAGGGGGAGTATCTTCGGAATAAACCCCAAGTGGTTTTCTTGATGGAAACACAACCCAAAAAAAAAAAAAAAAAAGTGTGTTGTGAGGAAGGCTTTATTTGGAGGAAGTGAAAAGGATTGCACATGGTATTTATCAATCTTGGCTATGCATTGGAGACTTCAATGATATAGCTTCTCAAGTTGAAAAAATAGGAGGCAGACCTGGAGGACCTAGAAAAATTGTTAATTTTTGGAACTTTATCTCTTGATTGCGGCTTGATGGATCTTGGATTTAATGGTTACAAGAATACAAGGTGTAATGGTAGACTGGGGGATGGTTTGATACAGGAATGTATTGACAGGGCACTTGGCAACGTTGCACTTAGGGAAGAGTTCCCCAATCTGCAAGTTTTTCATATTGACCCTATGGGGTCCGACTACCATCTTCTGATGATCAATTGTTGCTTTTAGGAGGAGTAAAACTTTTAAATTTGAAGAAGCTTGAAAAGTACATAAGAATTATCATCATGATGTCAAAAAAGGGTGGCTCAGGGAACCTGTTAGTGCTGACTCTAATCTCAATGCTTTTATGGCAAAACTTGATAACTATAGGCAGAAGCCGATTAGTCGAAGTTGCAAAGAATTCCCCAATTATTGGAAACTTGTTGAAAAGCTTAGAATGCAGTTAGCTGATTGTACTCAAGGAGACCTTATTGATGAATCTGTTAGAAAGGCCAAGGAGCTGAAACTTGCAATCGAACAAGCTCTTGACAAAGAAGAACAGTGCTG